GTGGGAATGTGAAGGACAGGATCCAAAAAACTTGTCTATCTGCAGCTGTACAGTATTTGTGATTCCTCCCTGATGGTTGATGTGTGCCATCACTGTGACCTTGTTTGACTGAATTCGGATCGGGTGACCCTCCAGCAGGATGGTTCAGCACTGTGGAGCTACCAAATCACCCAGAATTCCGGGATGTTGATTGGGAGGTAAAACTATTCTGATGACTAAGTCCCCAGGATGGTTAGGACACTATACCAGTCCAACACGCTGGCATTCGCCATGCGGATCTTTAAAGTCACATTAAACCCTCAGATTTTTCAACATAAACCAATACTGTAATGTGTGCCTTACTGTAATCCATGGTTGTTTCCCTTCTCTTTGCTGCTCTTCCTTTAAATCCTCATCTCTTCTCATGCTTGGGGAGAACTTTCCTTTTCAGCTCAGGGCCTCTTCCTGTAGTGCTGGCTCAGGTTACAAGCCTATACACAGACACCGTGTATCCATTCCTGAGACAAGGCAGTCTGCTGCAAAACAGAAGTTCTGCAGAGCATGAGAACAGATACAGATTTAAAAAGGAAGAGCAGCAAAGAGAAGGGAAACTACCATGGATTACAGTAAGGCGCACATTACAGTTGGTTTATGTTAAAAAATCTGAGGATTTAATGTCACTTTAATGAATATGTGAAGAAAGGAATTAATCGGTTCCAGAGCTGACTTCCTGAGCCACAAGGCCAGGGACAACTTATTCATCAGTTTCAAACAAAATAATCTGTTTAGTGACCTGAATGACTAGTCCCATGAAGACAAAGTTGCATTGTAGAAGCCCAGAGTTAAAAAATTAGCTAATATAACTACCTTGAAAGAGGCTACCATCAAGCCTAGGACACTCATCCAATAGCAGAGACTGGAAGAAGTCAAATCATAGACTGACAATTCTAAAGTTTCCTCTGTTTAAGAAATACTTTGCGTCTAGTCTTGGACCTCAGTCTAGATACTCCAAACAATGAGTCAGTTCCAGGAACCATTGAAGCCCTTGCAAGACAGCTAAAGTCACGCTGTCCAGCAGAGCCCATGTCAAGTGTTCCCTTATCTGGAGGTAGTTTAAATATCCCACAATGGAGATACCATAAGAGCACAGAACAGCCAATACTAGAGCTAGCAGCTTGGTGAACACCCTAGGTGCAAATGAGAGGTCAAAGGGCAGAACCTCGAACTGGTAGTTTAGGGGTCCCCAGCAAAACATAGGAAACATAGATTTGCTGGAAAAATGGGGACATGCAGGTGCATGTCCTTGATGTCCGCAGAATCCGGAAAGCCTGGAGGATAACTGAAAAACCGCCTCAGCTCTGGACCAATAACTCCACTACTCAGGTCAGGCCAGTATATCTGGGGATTCCTGATGAAGTCCTGTGTGATGCGCTGACTGGAAGAATTCCAATATCTGGCCTGAATCTACCAGCAGATAGAGAAACTTTGAAAAATGCAGAACTGTCACAAAACGAGCACCAGTACAAACTGGGAAAACCTGCACTAGGTGGATGACCGCAAAGACTTCCAAGATTTTTACACATCTGCCATGAATCTACCAGTGCTCGTTGTCTGACTGGAGAGACTTCTTTCTAATGGAAAACAGCAGAGCTGAGAAAAACGCATCCACTCTCCCGAGGACGCTAGCAAAAAAAACTGGGGCATGATGGTTGTGGACGGGGTTATCCTGTGCTGGGCAAATTATTTTTGTTGCCAGGGTCTGCAGTATAACCTAAGAGCTTATTCACACCAAATCCAGTACATTTCAGCACGGTTACTGGCTGAAACGCACTGGATCACATAGAGCAAGCCTCCCTGCGTTCCCGCCCCACAGTGTGATCAGTCACACCAGAAAGTGTGGCAAAGCAATGCCGCAGTCCAGTCTGATCCCAAAAAATAGTGCATGCCACGCGTTCTGGTGCGACCAATCGCTGTGCGGATGGGAGGTGTGGCTGTGGTGCCATTGGCCATGGCCCCTCCCACCCCAGAACGCATGTGACCCAGCCACTGTGCTTTGGTGTGCTTTGGTGTGAACAAGCCCTAAAACCCCTGTGTACCTCAACAGGCGAGAAAGAAAAATGAATTCAATAATGTACATATGAATTACAGATATGCATCATTTGTGACTTTTTATATATCTGCCTTTAAATTTCAGCTTAAATTACAGTGATTGATTCACCTGCAGTGACTGATGAATGTCATATTCACTGCTTTATAAATATACTCCACAATAATGCTCCCTAATAAAGCATAGCACATATGTCAATGAATGAGTGTGATAAACGATCATTTGGATCTCTTAAAATTCAATCCGAATTCCATTTTTGCTTTAGTGTTGGCTTTTTATATATATCTGGGACAAATATCATTGGTAAACTCTCTGCCAAAATGACTTGTTTCACCCAACAGCAGGCACAGGAAAATGCAAAAAGTAGTGTCCTACTACTCTGGCGGAGACTCTGTAATGTATAGTAAACACATACCTGCAGAATCTAGCTACAAAACATGTTCACCTTTGCCATGGCTTTGCAGGAGGGGATGGAGTCACAATCCACTGCTAAAAATCCTGCCATTCGTAAAACAAAAATAATAGTTCATTCAAAACTATTATCCCCATACCCAAAACTAATATTAGTATTAGATTACAGAGATCCACTGATCACTGAAAACTCAGGCTCAGTACATTCAGTAACAATCCTATTCAACACTATTACACCATGCCAGGTTTCCTTCCTCTGTTAGGTCTTTTTTCTGACCACAGCACAGTAGTCACTACTCTGTCCCCTGACCAATAGATTCAACAACGGTGCAAAAGTATAGTGACATCATTGTAAAATGGAGGCTAAGGGCCCAAAGATGTGTAAGACGCATTTAATTAAAGATCCAGATCATTTTCTGGTCTAATGTTACTATGTAATAAAAAAGACAAATTTGACAATGTAGAAAAATGTTCTTTATTTCTCTCAGAAAACATTACAATAGGCAAATCAAACATAAGAAATAAAAAAGGTTACATTTTATCAACAGCTGTAATCAACATAATTTCCAACACATGACTGCAAGGTATCTTCCAGATGCAAGACTAGAAAACCATGATGGTTCAGGCTGCTATATATGTGCCTTTGGTGACCTAATATACAGCTGACACGCTTTAATTAATGATGCCATGATGCCAGAGTAGTAACCTTTTCAATTATTGATGTTGTAACACACTAGAGTAATACAGAGTCACATTCCATACCTGAGGGACCAGCATTTAAGTGTACACAGGTAATGCCAGCCAGCTAGAGCAGACTTCAGTTGGGCAGCAAATCTATATGACCCAATATACAATATAACAGCTCTTGGCAAGAGATTTCTTCTTCTCTTATGTGAGGACATAAACAGGCTTATTTCATACAGCATTGGGAAACATAACAACCCAACCAACTAATCCATATTCAGTTTACTAAATTTAGATTACTGAAAGAGTAAAACCCGGTTGCTGCTGGATATTAGGTTCATAAAAAAAAAAAGAAATTGCAAGAAATGCTTAGATCTAAGCACAACAACTAGGAAATTCTGGATCCTTAGAAATCATACAAAAGAAGGGCTAATGATAACATAAGCTCCACCCATGAAGAATAAGTTTGTGCCTTGTAGATTCAGGTTAAAATTGTCTGTTAACAATATTACTGTTTTAGATCTCAAAAATGTATTCAAATCTCAGGTCAACTTTTTGCTGGTGTTTCCCCATATGGGAGACTTTTTTGTCCACTTCCTGAGGTACATCAGAATGAACAATAAGGAAAATGTCACTTCCTGTCTAATTAATGGGTGACAGATAGGACCCATTCCCACAAGGGGGACACATAAGAATGACAGGACCCATTCACACAACAAGGACACCATAAGAATGACAGGACCCATTCCCACAAGGGGGACACATAACAATGACAGAACCCATTCCCACAAGGGGGACACATAAGAATGACAGGACCCATTCCCACAACAAGGACACCATAAGAATGACAGGACCCATTCCCACAAGGGGGACACACAACAATGACAGGACCCATTCCCACAAGGGGGACACATAACAATGACAGGAGCCATTCCCACAAGGGGGACACATAACAATGACAGGAGCCATTCCCACAAGGGGGACACATAACAATGACAGGACCCATTCCCACAACAAGGACACCATAGGAATGACAGGACCCATTCCCACAAGGGGGACACATAAGAATGACAGGACCCATTCCCACAAGGGGGACACATAAGAATGACAGGACCCATTCCCACAAGGGGGACACATAAGAATGACAGGACCCATTCCCACAAGGGGGACACATAAGAATGACAGGACCCATTCCCACAAGGGGGACACATAAGAATGACAGGACCCATTCCCACAAGGGGGACACATAAGAATGACAGGACCCATTCCCACAAGCGGGACACATAAGAATGACAGGACCCATTCCCACAAGCGGGACACATAAGAATGAGGAGGTTTTAGAACATATGTCAGAATGTTATTGTTGTGTGGTCCCCAGAAGAGAGATATTCCCATTGTCCAGACAATGAGGGTCAGACAGGCAGTATATAAACTCAGCGGAGACAAATAATATTTAACAACAGACGTTTTAACCCTTCTCCACTATATCTAAACCTAAAAAATGTTGGCTAGGGTTGGCATTAAAGTAGAAAGTTTGCCCATAGGAAATGGATTCCAGTGTTGTCCTAAACACTGAGCAGCCCCATTTGTTGCAGATAAGGATAACTGCCAAAAGCAAAGACAAGACATTTCAGTGGGACAGTACGGAGGGTCTTATAACAGGTAATCAGTACACTTCATATTCCAGGTCTGAGCTACCATTAGCTAAAAATGTACATGCAGTCGTTTAGTAACCTTATTTTGGAAAGAGTGTAACATAAAGACATTTTGCTGGGGAGTAAAAGCCCCGTGTGACATCATCAACCTCTGATATGACTTATGTGTGCCGATACAAAATGCAGACAGTAAGGGACATGGATTGATACACTTTAGGCGAAGGTCTGACGGCTAAAGAGATCCAAGGTGACGGCACTGAGGAATGCCGGGATACTGTTCTGGTGATGGAGGTGAAGATCAATGAAGTCACGTAAGGTCAAGGAGAAGTTGGTTTCCAGAAGTTGCAGCTTTCCTCCACTTGAGTTGGTTGACTAAAAAAAAAAGCAAGAAATACAAAATATTAGAATTATGTCCTGAGGATCAGTGAGGACAGTTTATGAAAAGTGAAGCTGAGGAAAATATAAGACAGCGCTGTGTGCTTCTCTATAGCAGCCAGTCAGGGTTTTGCTTCCCTGCTCTGTTATTAACCCCTTAAGGACCCTTTCGCTGCTAAGGCCTTTTTTTTGTTTTTTGCACACATGATATAATGTACATTTTCGGCCTGAAAGTTACTTCAAACCCCAAACATTATATATTTTCTGAAAGCCAAGACCCTGTAAAATAAAATGGCAGCAGTTGCAAATTTTTATGTTGCACGACATTAACTCTTTATCAAACCCAAAAATGTAGTGAAAAATGAACTTAAGTTACATTTAGTGTCCAAAATACAATACAATACCCTTTTTTTGTAAGATATAAAAGATGAGGTTCTGACAAGTAAATAGATACCCAACACGCCCAGGTTGAAAATTGTGCGTGTCACGAAATGGCGACAAAATGTAATACCCCAAAAAGTTGAAGCTTTAAAAGCCCCCCCCCTACAGGTCATCAGTTTAGGGGTAAATACTGGCCCTAAAATGATTGCTCTGCTCTGGCGTGTGCGGCGATATGCAACATGTGTAGCACAATCGTCGTTTTATACATAGGCGCACCTGATGTGTGTTTTTACGCTCATGGGGGGGCTTTTAACATTTTTTTTAGCATTTTTACATTTTGTTTGCTTAATATTTAAACTTTTTTTTTTTTTTTTTTACTTTAATTGCTATCACATAAGGGAGCTTACAAGCCCCCCAATATTGGTAATGACAGGTCCTCTTTAAGGTGATACTAAGGGTCCAAAAGACCCCCAATGTCACCTTTCCACTCTAAATAAGCTATTGAAGTGCAGATCGCACTTCAATAGCTTATTGCTCGGCTTCAGGAGCCCAGCGCTGACAGCTATGGGACCGGAAGTCATGCAATACACATAGCTCCCGGTCCCATAGAACAGGGTGGAGATCGGTGAACGGACGTTAGCCGCTCTCCTCCCCAGCTTCCCGCCGACACCTGAGATGCCGGCTGGAGGGGCAGCTGAGCCCAGGAAACATGGTGGGGATGCCGGACGGGCTCTTTACCGGCCCGTAGAAGCGATCTGTCAGCAGCTGAGCCGCCAGAATCGCTTCTATTGTAAAGCCGACAGCCGGCTTTACAATTGTAAACAGAGTGGCCACCACTGGAGTCTGTTTAAACGGGCCTGCTGCCAAAAGACGTACTATGTGCGTCGCTGGTCGCTGAGGGGTTAAACCTCAAACAATTCTGTGTGTAGATTTCTTTAATCAATACCTTATACCCATATACAGAAGTTCTCTAGTATGAATGTGTTTGTTTCTTCTTAACATGTGATTGATCCCGCCATTTCCATGTACTTCCCCATTGTGAGTGGCAACACCATTGTAGCAGAGTCTGGCTGCTGCCTGTTTGGAAGTCATTGACTTTCTACATTAACCTGTTGAAGCTGCCCCACAAGACTTTTTTCCTCAGTGGCAGGGAGGCTCCAGCAGTTTGGGTGACACCAGATCCTGCTATTGTTGAATTTATTGTTCTCTTCTTATCTTAAAAATATAACATGGTGGGATTAATGACACTTTAACCAGAACACGTACATTAAAGTGTATAGATACAGTAGGGAAAGGATAGAACCTCTGTCTGGTTTCATTGCTGAACAGAAAAAAGAGAAGGAGCGCAACTGACTGGCACAGGGTGTAAGGATGGGAAATGATCGGGGACAAAAATAAATCGAGGTATTGGCACATACTTGGTACTGGTATTGTGCCAATACCTCGATTTATTTTTGTCCCCGATCATTTCCCATCCTTACACCCTTTGCCAGTCAGTTGCGCTCCTTCTCTTTTTTCTGTTCAACTTCACACTGTTAGACACCTCGGTCTAACAATATGAGGAGCAGCACACCGGCCACAACACACCACCCTAGGAGTGCGCTAACATATCATTCTTCTGTTCAACTTTCTACTGGTTTCATTGCTGTGTCCCCACTTCCGAGAATTTCCCTTTCTATTTGTGCTGTTGATCTGAAGGTCCGGGAACATACACAATTTCAAGCTGTCACCAGAACAAGAATAGATGGGAAACCTTCCATTCCAATCCATCCTTTCAATCCTCCGGTTCAGGTAACAACTATATCAGACGGGAGATACCTCACCTTGGAGAGATACTTCTCACTTCCTGTTTTGTCTTTGAGACAGGAAATTAAGGAAATTTTCCCCAATGAAGCACCGATTAAAATAAAAAAAGAGACACCTGTAACTATTGTCTATTCTGTCCAAAACTATATAAAAAAGTATTTTCATTAGATATACTTTAACTCACCGATAATGGAACCACCTCCAAAGTCTCTAAAGGCCACTTTATCTTACAAAGTGTATTGCTTATAAGGCCTTAGTCACACAAGCCTAACACGGGCCGTACGCTGTCATCCACACATCCGTGCGGGCCCGGTGTCCGTACTTGGACACAGAAGGAATGCATCCTGTCTGCGTCGAACTACGGACACCCGGACCCGCACAGATGTGCAGTTCTAGTGTGCGGATGACAGCGTACGGCCACGTCCTCCCATAGGGAAGAACAGGCTGCTGCACTCAATCACACGCAGCACCTGTGCCTCCCGGGATTGGCCTTTTACTGGTGTGCACGGCCCATGTTAGCCCCGTGTGAATGAGGCCTTAGGGTACCAATGTTATTCAACAGCTTTGTCCACATTAATTCCCATCACTGTCCCTATCTGGCCAATAGGAAGTCTCATCCTTCATCTCATCCCAAAATATAAATAGAGTTCAGTAGCACTCTCTCCTTATAACTGTGGCAATTGGTTGGAGTTGGGACCCAGGTGCCTTGTTGCCATCTATCCAATACTCAACAGGTCACTTTCACCAGTCCTAAAGAGGCCACCAGTGCTTTTATGGTGGAGTTGCTTTAAACACAGGTAGAGAAAGCATCCCTGCTTTATAATGAGAACAAATGCACTTTACCCAGGAACTTTACCTGCTAAAAAACACCAACAAAACGTTTGTGGGGAAGACAAACATCCTAAACTCTATAACTGGCGTATTAACAAACTTCATGTGGATGTTATCACTATTTACTTAATGAAGCCTCAAACAAAACACATTATTGCTCCTGTTCCAATCTTGCAAGGAAGGTCATAGATGAACATGACAAGACAATAGAGGAGAGCTCTTCTAACACACACAAAGGAAATGCACGTAGGCAGCAGAAACTCTTTGTAAAGAGGAAACAATTAGTGAAGAAACAGAGCATCTTGTGAAGATCAAAGAGGAGACTTGATGCTCTCTACTTCTAAATATAAAGGAATGAATGCAGACAACCTTATGTACAGGCTGAAGGCATATTCAAAGTCCTGCTATTAAAGGGGAACTCAAGGAATGTACAAAGTTAACCCTTACAGTGGGGCTACCCCCCACACTGCAAGGTTTAACTGCTAGTTTTGGTCCAGGGACTCAAATCGGTCCAAGGCCCCCTGTCGTCATAATTTCTAATGCGGGTCCATTCTCATGCATTAGAGATGAGGACGCTGAGGGACATACCACAGCCGGGGGAGAGGTAAGCACTCACCGTCGCAGGACCGAGGGTCAGGTGAGTATATCTTATGTATTCAGGCCCTTAGAGAAAAATGAGCAGTTAACCCTTGCAATGCGGGGGTAGACCCACATAACTTTTTACGTTCCTAGAGTTTTTCTTTAAGATGTATACTGGTCTACCACTGGAAGTCATACAATCTTTTTTTTTTTTTTAACAAAATATATTTTATTCCTTACAAAAAAGAAAAGCAGCGGCACAAATAAGTATCAATTCTCATTTGTTTCTTGCTGCTTTGCATTGGCCTGCTGTTGGGCAGCATTAGCTTGCCGCAATGTGTTTACTGAGACCTCTATACTGCAGATTCAGAATGAGAATGCACCCAGCAGTGTACGGTGCTTTTACGTGGTATTGGCCGCAGTGTTTGCACAGTCTCAGTGGCTACAGAGTTTTTCCTCACGATAGACTGCAGTAAACAAATGGTACACTGTTTCTTTAAATGCCTGCTGGCACACATTTTACAGTATTTAACTCATTGATCTAGCACAATGTATATCCAGGTCATGACAACCAAATGTATGCGATCAGCTTCAAACAGAGAGCTCGCAGCAAGGTAATCCAGATACCAAAGTGCATTTAAGAGCTTTTTGCCCCCATTGATTTAGCACTGTGGCATCAAACACATGAAGAGATATTCTTTGCAGGGGTCTGAGTCAGCATAATTTAATACACAACCAAAAAACATTCAGCCTTCGGGCTAGCTGTAAGAGAAGTCGGTCTCTGCTCAACCTGCAGGCATGTTCCATTACAGCCTGAGTGCAGTCTCTTTCTAACACTCCACACGGTTCCCACCCAGGAAAGCTCAAACTATATAAGAGGGCATGACTACGTTACTACTGACATTTTGACTTAACCCTCTTCACTGTGCTAGACACCCTAACCACCCACACATCTCATAAAGCACCAAAGTCCAGGGGGCAGCCATTCAAGACACTGCTCTGGAGCCAAATGGTTTGCATATACTTTAACAGATCTCTGTAATCCATGGCAGCTCAAATTCAAAGAGCACATGAAAGGGTCACTGGGAGCGAACGTTCTAAACTTTCCAGTGGCCTTTAATGTCTTTGTTTCCGGAGTCTACACCTCCAGACAATCACGTTGGGTTGGAATCTGGTTGGTGGTTTGGAGAAGTGATTACTTTTTTTCTTTTACATTGGACTTTCTGCTTCTAGGGGACCTCAATGTGCCTGCAGTGGGTGTGTTTGGCATTAGCAGGGGTTTTTAGATCACCAGATTACAGGCAAAGGGTAGTGGGTCCAATTGGAAAGATTAAAGTAGAACTGAAGCCAAAATGTTTCTTTATTTTTGGTTTGGAGAGAGTAACAGAGGACTATAACGC